GAGGGAGGGCTGGGAAACTTAGAAGATACTACAGCATATACAGCATCAATAGATGTAATCTTTCGTTGTGATGAACTAATAATGGTAAGGCTGATGCAAGCAAAATGTGCGTTTTGTACTCAGGTATGTGCCCGGCGTTGTTGCCGGGCTGCTAGGCTATTCGGCATTGATGGTAATTTGTAAGCGGCTTCAGAAATACTTACATTGGATTGTTTTCTGCGGACTCTCTGTTGATAGTTCAAGTACTCGTGTTTGGCGGAATGCACTCTATCTCTCGGCTTTCTGCTCGCTCAGCGACGAAGCCGGAGGTTGGCTCGGTGAGAAGTAGAGCGCTAACGAAATTGACGAATCATGTGTGCGAGTCGACACGAGTCCGCGTCCGCGTCCGAGCACTTGCATTCAATAGTGGTCTGATCTTTAGAGTCTCTTGCTTCGAGTCGCAGAGAGGCAGCCTAAAGCTGTCTGCATGTCTCTCAAAACTTATCTCAGAGATGGGGATGGCGCGTGCATAGGAGTGAAAATGATCATAACATTCAAACAGTCGTCCAAACGTATTTCACTAATATTACTTCGGGCTTTTCAGAATGCACCCATGCGACGAAGAAATTCAAGACATGATTGTTATCACTCAAACATCGTTCAAGAATATATGCAGGCAATTCCAGTCCCTGCGACTCCGTGGAGATTAGAATTAGAATGACCCTCTGGAGTAAACTTATCGAATTTGAGTATTGTTTCTGAGTTTTTGAAGCAGACAAAAATCTAAACATATATAATTTTGAAATTCACGAATCGTTACATCTAAATCGCATCCTTCTCGAAGTCTTCCCACAAGACTTGCTGCTTAATGAACGGGCAAAAGAGATAGATTGGAGGATTCGTATCACTTCAGGCATCAATTATCGACGGGCATTTTGGGAAGTGAGAATCCAGCCTTTACCCCAGGTGTCAAAGGACTAATAAGAAATTTTCTGTTTCACTATTTTCTTCCCGGCTCCATTGAATGGCCAATATTTACCTGCCAGCCTGGTATTCAGTCGTCTCCTCACTTCCTATTTTATTGACAGCGCAGATCCTAATCACTGGACGTGATTTTTTTTAGAGTACACCGGTTGACTTTTTCATTGAGTCCTAGAGGTATAAAAGATGGACGAACACGACCAACAAACCTCAGAGCTTCCGGCAAGTCTTCTCTGCCCTCAGACGTCTTTTCATACTTTGCTGGTCAAAGGAACGAACTACTCAACACTTACTACCCCCCCTTCCACCTCGCTCACTTTCTATCTTTAACTCACGACTAACCGTCGTTCGCCATGCGTTTCAATATTGCCTACCTCTTCTTTGGCCTCATCGGTGCAGCTTGCGCCATCCCTGTCGCCCCCGCCGTAAGTCTCCGGTTTGAGCTCCATTTTGAATTTTTATACTAAGGGCTGTTTCCAGAATAATACAGCTTCGACTGTCTCTTCTCGCAGCCTATTTGAAGAAATCGGAAACGAGCTCGCCGCTCGCTCTGGAGGTCCTACGATCCATGTCTGGCAGGCACGCGGCGAGGGTGCTCAATTGTTCGATGCTCATGGCAACGAAGTCGATACTCGAGCCGTTTTTGGCTTGACCGATGCGGACCTCGTCAGCCGCGACACTATGCTCGCGGCCCTCGCGGCTCGCAAGGTCACCATCACCGTGACTTTCCAGGGCGACCTCGAGCAAGCGGACTCGGGCAAGAATGCGGTGGAGAAGTCCAAGAAACAGTCGGCAGCTAAGGATGCGGTCGTTCGTCTGCTGAACAACGCACAAAAGTCTCTCGGTCTCTCTGACTCGATTCACGTTGTGTTCTTGAACGATTACCACGCCAGTAGATCAGAGCCGACTTCACATGTCACTTTCACCTTCGAAGAGCATGCTTGTGAAGGTACTTGCACTGGGCACGCATTCGGGAAGGGTTTGGGTGAGATTTTCAGGCATGATGGTAAGAGCCTGTACAGGAAGGAGAAGGTTGGTTTCTTCATGTTTCACCTCCACATCTTACTGATTCTTCTTACCTTTGGCAGTAAATGTGTGCGCTCTTAAACCTGATTGCCGTAATGAGTTAGTATGTACTGCAGTTCATAATGAAAACAACGTTAGAATTTGTGAAATCAATGGAAATCTGAACATTGCCCTTCGCCTTGGCTGGTTTGGACCTTGAATTTGCCTTGATTAATAAATGGAACATGGTAAATTGTTCCTGGATTGGCAGAATTTAGACAGTTGCATGCGGAACTTTTCTGGACTGCGAGAATCAATATAATCATAGAGGGACTTTACTGCGCACGTTAAGGCTGTTTACTTCATCTTTTGTTGTTGCAATGCATGGCAATTTCCGACGAAATGTTCCAATACTTACCTTGAGTCTAACTTACCTGTAAAATTTGAATGTTAAGTCGTCCTCGAAATGCCTTGAAGGATTCCGAGAATGCGTCTAATAGTAGTTGTAAGCGGCAAGTAAGAGGTGGCATGAACCAACGATGACAAGCGCCCAAAACAAGCGCCTCCGCTCCTGCAACTCCGCTCCCTTGTCTGCGAAAAGATGCAGTGCTCGAGTCTTCTGACGTACAGCGCTCAGTGCTCAGCCCTGACACTGCAATTGCTCTTTATAACCTGATCTCTGACCATCATCTTTCTGTGATTATCTTTGATTCGTGCAAATGTCTTATCAAGCAAACTATGGCTCAAACTATGGGGACTCCCCAGGAGGATTCGTACGGCCTGTTTACTACTTCCTGGTAAAATCGATGAATAATCGGCTTGTTTAGCGTATGCCTGAACCTGCAGGTGCTCCTGGAGGGTATGGCGGAGGAGGATATGGGCAACCGGAATTTAACGAACGATTCCGAGACGGCTATGTGAGTTTGCACTTCCGTCATTTTGATTCCCTTCCACAACTCTTCCTTCACAGAATCCCTCCTATGCTGCTCCTACTGGTCCGGGATATGGTGCTCCTCATCCCGGATATGCATCGGGATACGCTCCCCCCGCAGGAGGCTATGCTCCCCCGCCTGGTCCACCTCCAGGCGTCCCTCCGATACCTGGGTACGCGCCGCCACCCGGTCCACCACCACCAAACCTGCAATCATATCCGGGAGCTTCTGGGGGACAGCAATATGGCCAGCAGTATGGTCAACAACAACAGAATTCAATTTTGTACATGAACACGCCCATACCACCTCTGGGTGGCCCCCCACCTCCGCAGGGTATTCCTGGATACAATGCTAGTGCTGATGTGGACAGACTGAGGGATGCTATGAAGGGCTTCGGGACAAAGGAAGGCGTATGTGAGTACATATTTATGGTTTTGCTTCTGCTTTTACGATACTCACGATCTTTATCCGAACAGTAATCCAAGTTCTCATTCCACTGTCAGGAATGCAACTTGCTGTCCTCGCTGCCACGTACCGTGCTTCTACCGGGAAAAACTTGTTAGCTGACGTCGATTCCGAAACCGGTGGAAGGCTGAAGTGGGTAATCTTTTCTATGCCTTTTCCTCGCATTTCTCAAAATATGTACCCTCATCCCTTGTTCTGTCATATCCAGAGACGTGTTGACTGCAATCGTACGTGGACCAATCGGGTACGATGTCAAGATGCTTCACGAAGCACTCAGTGGGGTGGGGTGTGTATAATTTAGTTTTATCATTGGCTAGCTCTCAATCTAACAATTTTCTGCATATCTTCTGTCACCAGTACGAAGGAGGACCTTCTGACTGAGCTCATTGCTGACCGGTCCCCATCCGACTTGTACAACCTGGGGCAAGCTTATAGAGCGAAATATGGACGAAGTCTCGAGGAGACAGTGAGGAGCGATTTGAGTGCGAAGACGGAGAGAAGTAATTAGTTTTTCTTCTCGATCACTAATATCAGCCGGCTCATTATCATCTCTCTCTTTGCAGTTTATACGATGGTTATCTCTTCCAACCGCCCACCAGACAGTACCCCAGTCGATATGGGACTGGTGGAAGCTGACGTGAAGGCGTTGTATAAGGCGGGTCAGGGCAAGATTGGTACTGACGAGGTAAGCCTACACTCTGATCTTGTCCATATAGCTATGACAAACCACCCTTCCTTTTCATCATGAAGATCGCTTTTTGTAATATTATCGTCAATCGCACAACACCCCATTTGACCGCATTGTGAGTCCATCCGATTTCGAGTGTCTTTCAACTTGAGTCTGAGCAGATTTGCAAACACTGCAGATGGGATGCATACCAGCGTCAACATGGAAAGACCCTTTCGAAAGTGATAAAGAGTGAATTGTGAGTTGCTCTCCTTTTTCTTCTTCTCCGGTATCCTCATCGACACGTCCATTTTTTTTGTTAAATTTCTCTTAGCTCTGGCCATATGAAGAACACACTACTGTACATCGTCACCGCCGCAAACCCGAAGCGGATCAATGAAGGGCCTGGTGTTTGGAGGGATGTCAAGTTGTTGGAGGCTACGATGAAAGGGATGGGGACCAAAGATGATTTGTTACTGAGGCGGTGAGTGTTTATGAATTTTGGCTTTGTTCGACGCCTGAGCATCTGCCCTTCTCCTTTTTCTGGGTACACAGGCTCGTGCGTCTTCACTGGGATCAGACACACTTTTCTGCTGTCAAGCGGGCATATGAGAGGAAATATAAGAAGAGTCTCGAAGCGCGCGTCGCTGGTGAGACGATCGGTGACTTTAAGAAGGCCTGTGTTGGAATTGTTCGTGGAGCTTGATCGAACGGAAGGACCGAGGCATAACAAGGGGATAAGTTCTGACTGTAAGAGAAAGGACACGTTTACCGGTACTAGCTAGTACTTAGTGGATAGTAGGTCATCGACGATCAGCAATGTACATGAGCTGTTGAGAATGTTTTGAGACAAGTACTTACTGTAGACGTCGACAAATTCTAGGAGTCCTATATTCCTGGTCTGATTGCATTGCGGCACCGGTGTCGTACGAATCTGGGGCTACAACTCTTCATGAAACGTGATTCGTATGTCCTTCTTAGCTCAGTTGGTAGAGCGCGTCACTAGTATGTGCGTGACATAAAGCGTCAGGATCGCACTATGACGAGGTCAGTCGTTCGAGTCGGCTAGAAGGAATTTCATTCTCATTGGAATTGCTCTTTTTTCTTTTGGGGTGCACGTTGCACGTTGATATGGAGCCTTCTCGCGGGTACGGATCGCATAGAATACTTCTATTTCATGTAATCAATACGTGAATTTTAAAAAGTCGATCTAGCGGAACTTCAACCGGTTTTTCTCCTCTTCCCTCTCCCTTCACTCATATCCGTTTCCCTCTTGCTCTTCATCCCCACAGTTCTCATGACCTCCTTTTTCCTCTCTTTCACTTTCTCCCCCTTCCTCTCTTCCACCTTTTCAGTCTCCTTCCTCTTCTTCTCTTTCGCAGCCTCCTTCTTCTCCTTCCTCTTCGCCACCTGATCTTTCCTGATAGACCTAATCTGCTGCATCAACGCTACAGCGCGCTTCTCTTCCGGCTCAAGGACAACAGCCCGTTTTTGCATGTACGTCTGTTTCTTGACACCGTCGCCAGACCCTCCTCCTCCCTGCTTCTTCATAAGCTTGGGCTTGCTCTTATACGGTAATGCCTTTTGGAGAGTCTTTGGAATGACCAACGGAGCAAACTTCTTTTCACCCTTACGCTGTCTCTCAGCGTCGATCTCTCGCTTGGACTTGTACGTCGAGTTGACATTTGATGGAGTTTTGATATCCAAGGCACGGCGTACGGCACCAGTAAGACGCATACCGGTCCAGGTTGCTTTTGTCTCTTGCCATTCGGCGCTTTCATCCGACTCGGGATGAGAGGGCAGGAGAAGCGAGGTGACGGGGTTGTAGAATTTTCGCGGTTGGACAGTGTACCATGCACGAAGGAAAATAAGATCTATCGAAATCGTTAGTAAAAATTAGTGAAGAGGTTTATATTTGGGGACACTCACCACTCATCAAAACCTTATCTTCAAACGCGGCCCTAAAACCACCATCGCCCCCTCCTCCCCCCTTAGCATTCACAGCCTTCTTCACCTGACCTCTAACTCCACTGACAGTCCTCAAACTCGCCCCTTCGAACTTTGCCACTTCCAAGGCGCTACTAAACATCCCCTTGATAAACGCCGTATTTTTGAAAATCTTGTACGGCATCCCGGTGAGTTTTAATTTCTTCACTATCGCATTCCCCGGTGAAGACGAAGGTGAGATAGACAGGACGACTCCGGTGGCCGAGATACGAAATCCAGAAGAGTTCGAGTCCGATACCGAGTTGAACGCGCAAAATCCGGTATTGGGTATCGCTCCCGGAGCCCAGAAGGTAGCGTAACAATGCATGTGTTCGGGTGTATATTTGAGCATGCGCATCCTAATACTATGATCGTCGAGAGAGTATATTGGTAGCGTTTGAAACCTCCTCCAACCCAACGACAATATTAGTGGATCGTTGGTTTTGAGTGGACGCGTGAACCACCGGTGTCGTTTGATACGGACTTGAATAAAGTTGTATGATGATGGGGTTGCAGACGATTCAGCTGGGAGGAGGCCACCCACGAGGAGAGGATACGCGGGGTCAAAGTACGTGACGAGTTCCGCCGGAGCGTCGTCTATCACAATACGAACATATGTCCCAGGAACATACCCCTCCAACTGCGCACGAGTCTCGGCGTCAGCGATAGAAGCAAATTCGTCCTTGTTCATTTGAAGTTGTAGAGCCATCTCGGCTTTCCGTTCATCATAGAAGGTGTCCGTTCCGGCGCCAGATCCTGAGGGGTCATCGTATTCCTCGTCAAAGCGAGCCTTCAGTAAGGCCTTTTTTGATGCCAGAGCGTCACGATCTGGAGGTGGACGGACGGGGTTGGATGATGAAGCTGCTGTTGAGGCACCGGGATCGGCACCGTCCATTCCTGTGGCTTCAAAGTCAACGAAATCCCCGCCTTCCTCATCTTCGTACCCCTCGTTGTCGCCATGGCCGTTGCCAGTTCCTTCTATGTCTCCGTCCTCGGCGTCAGGCGCAGAGGTGATGCTGGTAATAAACAGGCCACGGATACTCTCCAGCATTTCCTCGTCTTCCCATTTGCTGAGCTCAGGTAATAACAGTGCGGACGGATCTTTGGTCCGGTCCGCGAATTCAGGGTCGTCGAGAGAGGAAGAAGGGTGAGAGGGCTTTTTTATTGAAAAGAATTCGTCGTCAAAATCGTTCTCGGAATGGGCTGGTTTAGATTTGGAGGATGAAGACTGAGCAACGATCTCCTCCGGTGAAAGTGAGCTCGAATAGATATCCTTCATCCAATCTCGGCGCGTCCTACGACGCTGGATAGCTTGTGAGTCGAGGTTCTTGGTATTGAACCCTCCGTAGTCGTCGTGATCCTCCTCCTCATCTTCGTCTTCATCTTCATCTCCGAGCTCTTCATTGTCAGGAATTTCCACGTCCATATCATCGTCGGCGTCAAGTGTGAACCTTGCTCGCTTCCCGTCCGTAAAGTTTCCGTCATGATCGTCGTCTCCCATATCAGAGTCACTCTCAGCGAAGTCGACTTCCGCTTGTTTCGCCAATTTACTTGAAGACGGACCTGAAGGCAAGGATCGAGCAGGACGTCGAAGTTGTGAACGGCCGGTATTCCGAGGGTCTGAACGGAGTTTGACCATCGAGAGTGAGAGGGAGCCCTCATCCTCGTCTAAATCCTCTTCCTCTTTGTCGCCATCGTCCTCTGACCCAGAGCCTTCATCGTCCTCGGAACCGGAGCCTTCACCATCCTCCGACCCTAAGCCTCCATCATTTATATCCTCGTCTTCGTCTTCGTCATCGTCTTCACCATCTCTCACAGCAAGGTGTTTCTCCGAAGATCCGAAAAGCCTAATTGACGTCTGCCTAACCGCGTCATCAAGCGTCATCCCTACCTCCTGCAAATCCATGACCATCCTCTCTCCCTCGCCCTCCTCATCTCCTTCCCCATCCTGCCCTTCCTCGCTGTCTCTCCGTCTCGTGAAATTCCCAGGTACGTTGATGTACACTGCATCTTTATCGTACACCATCCCACCGACATCGCTCATCGGCGCATGAACAAGCAATTTCTTCTTCTCGCTCAACTTCCTTCGTTTCTCCGAATCAGCATCGGGGAGAGGACACGGGTCACCCAAAGCCTCGACAGAATCCATATCAAAATCTCCTACACCAGGAATATGGATTCGCTGTCCCGGACGCAGATTCGTTCCACGAACGTAGCCGTATATCGACACCTTCCGGTCACATTTGCCCTGGGACGTGCGGATCAGCTCTCGAGAGGTCAAGTCCTGGAAACGGTCGGCTAGCACGTATGGATGAGTATTGCGAAAGACGAGGGGACGGAATTTCATGACGCCGATGAATCGAGAGAGGTTGAGGATTTCGGTATCAGGATAGCGACCGTTGAGGACGCCGGAGAGGTAGAAAAGTTTGGCTCCTTGGTATATTTCGGTCCAAAAACGCTTTTTTAATGCTTTTTTGGAGGCACGCAAGGTGGCTGCTTTTTTTATGAGGTCAAGGTGTGTGAGGATTCCGATAACCTTTGGGAAACCATGACATTGGAGGATGTTGAGGAACTCGAATGTTTCCTTAAAAATAAATGTCAGTCAGGAGGAACGTAGTCGACGCGGGTGGAAATATACCATCTCGAAGCCAAAACTGCCATCTATCATGAGCAAAACCAAGTCGGCTACTTTACCAACATCGATCATACTGTTCAACGAGTTATTACATTCGATAAACGTGATTCTCCTCTTCTTGCCACTGACAACGGTTATAGGGCCTTTCGGATCGGTCAAAGTCTGTTTAGTGTATCTCCGAACAAGGCTTTTGAGCAAGGTTGTTTTCCCAACTCCCGGAGGGCCAACGATGGCTACAATGACGGGTGGAGGAAGGTCATCCGGTGTTCGAGAGACGAGAGGAACGTGTAAACGGGTTTGGTCCTTTTCAGCCGCGCGACGACCTTGCCGGTCAGCATTTCGACCAGATTTTGGGGCAAAAGCCTTTGCTCGTTCAGTATACGCGTCCAATCGCGGAATATGACTAGGAATGTCACCTTTTCGTTGAACCCATGTTGCTTCTCCTTGCCTTTACCCTTGGCTTCCTTCTTCTTCTCAGCCTTGCCACCAGAATGTGCTGGCCGATGAGCTTTATGCGGACGGTCTCCTTCCATCATATGCTATTTAGATAATTAGATTGAGAAATTAGGGATATGCAAGAGCAGAGCGAGGCAATCCGCCTGCTGGTCCAAATGGACGTCGAGGTCGAAGAAAAATCAATCCGGCAGGCAAAATTTGTGGGCGCTTCCTACCAAGCGCCAAGTACGAACGTAATTTTATTTCTTTTCAATTTCTTTTAACGGCTGTACAGGATTTTTGAATTGACTAGTATTCAGTACGTCAGTTCTCGAGCTTCTCTAAAAAGATATCAAGGTCGAGCAATCCAGGAATCTTCAACCAAGTCCAACGATAAAAAGATAACGTCGATGTACTCTACTGAAGACAAAGCTGAAGAGATTTATTTTGAAGTCTAAACGTCTGCCGATAAGTATTCACCCTGCTTAAATGACGAGTCGGAAGTCGGAAGTTGGAATTAGTGGTAGGGGAAGCACCTCTGACAAACTGCTCATCCATGTGGACAACAGGACGATGCATACCTGGATGCAAAGTCATAAAACAATAACTTTTGCTTTGAGAGTCGGATGCCGTACCTTTCGCGGCGGGCGAACGCTTTGACTTATCCTTCCAGAAAAAGGATAGATCATTGATGGGCACTTGTTTTCCCTCTGCATAGACAGAGACACAATTGCAAGCCGCTGTCCTCTGGCAGCGAAACAGGCTACAGCTTTCACCGAGATTTCATCGCTTCTGATCAAGCCGTAGCCCACGTAGCCTCATGAACATAATCCATGAAAAGAAGTATCCGCTTACGAATCTACGATCATCGACTTCACCGATAGACGGCCCGAATCGTCGCATCGGAAAACGGTCGGGATCTATCTATCCTCAAAGATCAATGCTCCGGGAAGTCTGAAGAGTACTAGCGCGTCTTAAGCGCGTCTTAGGTATGAGTAGGTACTTTCGGGGACGGAAGT